TTATATTTTTTAAATATATAAATTATTTTTTTAGACCAAAATGACAAATTATTTGGCCATTTATTTAAAATTAACCAAAAAAAATTAAAATTAAATTAATTTGTCACAGTAATTTTTAAAAAAAAAACATTTTTAAATAAAACAATTAAAAAAAAACTCAATCAAATATACAATCAAAAGTAATTTTAAAGCACTAGCTGAATTTTTTTTAACAAAAAATAATATATATTTTTAATATTTTAAATTAAAAATATTTTCAGAATTTTTTGAATCTTTTAAATAAAAAATTTATTTTTTTAAATAATTATTTTTTTGAATTGAATTTTAAAAAGAGTTTGGTTATAAGTTTTAAATAAAATTTTCAATAGAGTTTTGAGTTGTGTATTTGGTTATGAGTTATAAGTTTTTTAATTAAGTTTTGAAAACTCATAACCAAACAATTTTTCTTATTTAAAACTCATTTTAAAAATTCAAAACTCAATTTAAAATTCAATTCAAAACTCAGAATCAAACAAATTCTCTTTTCAAATCATAATTCAACAACAACAAAATTGTGAAGACCACCATAGTGGCATCTCTTTTATATTATATAAATTATTTGTTTTGATACTATTAATGATTTTATAAAAATATATATATATGTAGAATCTGATTTTAACAAATTAATAAACTTAGCTGTATCAAAAAAGGTGGGGGTAATTCAAGTTTAACTTGGGTTGGGCTTGGTTACAATTCGAACCTGGATAGCTCTCAACCTAACTTGGGTTAAACTTAAACAACTTATTAATCTATCCGAACCCGCCTGAGTTGCACCCCTAGTTTTCCATACAGGACACAGCAACAATCCTTTGCTAATCCATTTTGTTTCTGCCCTGGGCCTTGAGGAATCCATTTTAGCATTTCCAATTTAGTTCACCTTTCTTTTGTTTCAGATTTCGAACAAAAATGACCGACTAACAAAAGGAATTCAGCTCGTTTGTGCAAAACAAAAACAGAAAGCAAAACTGAACACCAAACCATTTATTTGTCCAATAGCAGTTAAACAACACAGATTTTATTGTCAATGGAAAAATGGCAAAACCCACGACACGTGAGTTCAATATACCCATTTTCCATCAAACAAAATTTACAAAGTAACAAAAAAATTCATTCTGAATCAACACAATCAACAGATCTCATTCGCTTACAGGAATGCATTAAGTGACAATCGCAAGCAGTTGTGGCTTATACTTTAAAATGTTTCCTAATTGCAGGTTCAAGCTCAGAGTGGTTTCACTGGTCATATCAGGGAATCAGGGAGAAAAATTCCTCCAATTGGGTCTCACTCACCATAACGCCAAGTTTCTGGCTATGGACTGCATCGATCAAATCAACTCCGATATCTTTCGCCAAGCCTGCTGTAGAGATTTCTATGTACTCATTCACGTTGTGAACAGTTCCATCTACACAAGTAAAAACAAAGGAATTAGCAGGAAGAGGGGAAAGAAGACATAATCAATGATCAAAATCATGACTTTCCAAGTATATATATGTTTAGACACCTTACTTTCAAAAAATTATACGTGAAATACAATTCAAAATTTCAAACTACAATCTCTTTCACAAAGTAATCTTGTATCAGTATTCACAGAAATTCAATTGGAAAGTGAGTTCAATATTAATAGGCACAAATTTGAAATCTAACTGATTCATTCATTTACCTTCAGCAACTATTGCTTCATATGCAGGTGGTTGGGCAATCCAGTTTCCTACAGAATCTTTCATGTGTCTTCTATCAGATGCAAAGGAACGAAGGAATATTGGAGCATGCACAACCCGGAAAAACCTGAGATCACAGAGAAGTTTTTCCCATGAACTTGTATATTTTCGCAGTTGGGTTTTAAAGATATCTAGCAATGCACAAAGTGATGAATCAATTTTCATCAAGTGATAAAGAAAAATACAGGAAAAGAACAACAGAAAGCTTCCTTGAATAATCAACCACGACAAGGCATATCAATGGAAGGATAATATGAAAGTCAGAAAAATTGTATGGCAACCTAAGAAAGACTAGATATTACCTCTGAAACTCAGAAAATAGCTGAAAAGATGGCCGTATAGTTTCCGAGACATAGGAGGCCAGAGGAGATGGGAATGGAAGACTTGAATCTAAATCCCACACTACAGGAGAAGAGTCACCTTTTTTTCTCTGTTACAATCATTGCAATATCAGAATTTTGTAAACAAAAATGTTGTTTCTAATAACCATTAATGCAAAAAATAAGTATACTGGTTCACAAGACTCTTCCAACCAACACAACAGTCACCTGAATGCAGATGACGTGAAAATCCCACAAAACAACTCCATCAGCTCTCTGGCTGGCCTTCTGATGCCACAGTGGAACCTGCAAGGTGGTTATCAGTTCAGCACACCCTTGTCTACAAAAAAATTAATCTATCCAATAGTGCATTTATGACTGAATGCCTTTTCTTTTGTTTACTAAAGCAAAACCACGTGAAATTGTCAAAATTCAATTAGAGCTAAAGTGGAGTCCTGATGGCTCTTTACGTATAACGTGGGGTGCTTAGACAGTCTTTCTTGAGTATGATATCATTACCTTCTTACTGGTTCCAAAGAGAAAATGAAAAAATAAAATTAAAATTCAATCCGGATGTCTTCAGAAGACAACAATGCGAGATAGGAACTGGTTTTAAGCGAAGTATTGCTCCAGTTACAAAAATCTAGTACTAAAAGAAGTTTATGACAAGTTCCACCACATGGAAACAGGAAAAAAGTGTTAACACTCAAAATGGGTGATTGCGAAAAGTAAATCAAGCAACTTGTTACATTTATTTATGCATCAACAAGTGATGATACCACATCAATTGCACATGTTTAACAACATATGATGCTGCATCTATTGAATGGATACTTAAGTATAATAGGATTTGGAAACCTTAAGTGAAGGGTATGGGTCCCATGATCATCATCAAGGACCTTTCATGGTGGTGGTTGGAGGAAAAAGTCTGAGCTGAAGATCTTTGTTCAGGAAGTGGAGGCACCAACATGGCCTCCAAAACTGTTGAGTGTTGGTCATCATGGCTGTAAGGGTGGTCGGGAGGGGAAGATGCTTTCCGTCCATGACAACAGTGTAATGGAGTTTTTGGGATGGTGTCTTAATAAAGCTAAGGCAGTCAAGGATTGGGTTTATCAGTTAGAAGTTTTATGTCTCATTTTTGCACCACCAAATAGAGCTTTGACAATTATAAATCCAGTTCAGGAGAATGATGATAAATATATCACAGAACCTCCAGAATCTAGTGGAACACAACAAATGAAATAAGAAAAATGGGAGGTTACACACCTGCTTCTTCTCATTGGAGATGAAAACAACAAATAGATCAGATCCCTCTGCATCAGCTACCCCACTTGTGCAGAGCTTTTTGCAAAGCAAGTATACATTCTCCTCACTACAAAAAGTAATATAAAAAACAACCCAAAAAATCTTGATCAAGGAAATACAAAAAAGAAACAGCTGACAGGTAATGCATGTTAACCAATCAAATATAGACAAAGAAACTTCAGGATTATTTGCTTGATAGAGATCCAGCCTACCTTCTTGCATGGAATATTATTTTATTTTATTTTTCAAAAATTATTCATTAAACTTTATAAAAGAAAATAAATAAATATATTAAACAAAACTATTTTATTATCTTATAATGAAGCATATCTGGTAGCAGTATAAAGAATGACTCCTTGTCTTTGATGTAGTGACTTATAACTCTCTCAAACACATCCATAACTTCTTCCAAGTTAGGTGCAGGGGGATTTTACCAAATGATAAGATTCTATATAGAACCATTGGAAACTTTATGTATCTCGAGACACTGCCAGTCCATATGTCCCCTCATTCTTATGAGATATAAAACATAGTTAGAGAATTTCTCGACAGCCAAGGCTAGATAAGAAATATTATTGGATTCTGCAGGACTTCGTTTAATGTATCATATTATCTATAAGAAATTGAGAGAGATTGAGAGAGCAAATATTAGCTCTATGTTTTTGATGTATATTGCAACCAAATGGAACCTCCATTATATAGGAGATGTTCTACAAGACAAAATGATGAACAAATGAAATATACAAATGAAAGGCCACCGAAAGATAGCTGAAAGCAAAAGGAAAAGAAGGCGTCTATCTGTGCTAGGCTAGCAACAACTATCTATACAGATATTTAATATAATCTATTAAATATACTATCTACTATTAGCAGCTGTAGATCTATACAGATTAATATAGTATTAACTTATAACATATTATAGGTATAGTATTAACATCTCCCCTCAAACTTAAGGAGGACAAACATCAACCAACTTGAGTTTGGAGACAAGGTCAACGAAGCGGCCAGGAGAATGAGCTTTGGTGAAGATGTCAGCAGGTTGATCAACAGAAGAGATCGGATGGAGATGGACAGTACCATGAGTAACGTGTTGCCGAATAAAATGGCAGTCAATCTCAATGTACTTGGTGCGATCATGAAAAACATCATTGTGAGCAATTTGAAGAGCACTGTGATTGTCACAAAAGAGGGCAGTAGCGCCAGAGGGAGTAACACCCATGTCAGCAAGAAGCCAACGAAGCCAGAGAAGCTCCTGAGTAGTATCAGCAAGGGCACGGTATTCAGCTTCGATACTAGAACGAGCAGTAAAAGATTGTTTCTTACTGCGCCAAGAAATAAGAGAATCACCCAGAAAAAAGCAAAACCCAGTAGTAGAGCGGCGGTCAGTAGGATCGCCAGCCCAATCAGCATCAGAGAAAGCACGAAGCTGGAGAGAGGAACGGGCGGAATAATGAAGACCATGAAACATAGTGCCTTTGAGATAGCGAATGATACGAATTAATGCAGCATAATGTGTGGTACGAGGAGCCGACATAAACTGGCTGACAATATGGACGGCATAGGCAATATCAGGACAAGTAACAGTGAGATAGACAAGACTGCCAACCAGCTGACGATATAGAGTAGCATCAGAGAGAAGAGTGCCATCAAGAGGTGTAAGACGACTCTGAGGCTCCAGGGGAGTGGAGGCAGTCTTGCAATCGGTAAGACCAGCACGGGTGAGAAGATCAGATGTGTACTTAGCCTGAGAGAGAAAAGAACCCGTGGAATCATGGAAGATTTCAAGACCCAAGAAATAGCTGAGAGGACCAAGGTCTTTCATCTCGAAATGATTGCTAACGTGCGCCGCGTGTTTTTGACGTCAGCACACGTCAGCCCTCTCTGCTACCGTGCACTGCCTGGCCTGTTTTGCTAACGTGCGCCACGCCCTTCCTTGCTAACGTGCGCCGCGCCCTTTGCCTCTCATTTCTGTGCCTCTGTGGTCATATTTTGGGTCGTTTCACTCCTTTTCCCACTAATTTCGGCCTTCTGAATTCACTGGTAACCTCCGTTTTTTCAGATTTTCCCACAGTCATGAATAGTAGAGCTGAACTTGGCAAACCAAGCGCGGGGAGCTTGTTTGAGACCATATAAAGCACGTTGAAGTTTGTAGACTTTATGAGGTGGATAAGTAGACCCAGGGGGAGGTTGCATGTAGACCTCCTCAAGAAGAACACCATTAAGAAAGGCATTTTTCACATCCATTTGATAAAGATCCCAGTGTCGAGTAGTAGCAACTGCAATGAGGCTGCGAACAGAGGTGAGACGAGCAACAGGAGCAAAGGTCTCCTCATAATCAATACCATATTCTTGATTGAAGCCTTTAGCAACAAGGCGAGCTTTATAGCGCTCAATAGAGCCATCAGAACAGGTTTTGATTTTGTATACCCATTTACAGCCAATGGCAGTCTTGCCAGGAGGAAGATCAACAATGTCCCAAGTGTGAGTTTTGTCTAAAGCCTGTAATTCATCAGTCATAGCTTGCTGCCAAAGAGGATTAGAGCGAGCCTCCCGATAGGAGGTGGGTTCATAAGTAGAAAAAGCAGTAGAACCAACAATAAAGTCACGAAGACGAGTAGAAGGTTGGATTACCCGGTGTGGTCGAGTAGGAGGAGGAGGAGCCAGAGGAAGAGACTCAACAGGGGGTGAGGAGTCCGAGGGAGCAAGATCAGGACCATCAGAGCTGGCAGGTGCTTGAGAAAGACCAGTAGGCAAGGCAGTCTCAAGAGAGTCAGGCATGGGCAGTGGAGGAAGCTCATCAGAAAACAGATCTGCAAAAGGGTTAGTAAAACACAGAGAGGGTAAGGGAACTGATAAACGGAATTGAGAGAGGGAGGAAAACATTGTGTGTTCCCAAAAGACCACATGACGAGAGATACGGAGACGCTGGGAGAGAGGATCCCAACAGCCCATTATATAGGAGATGATACCATACCCCAAGAAAAAACAAAGGCGAGAACGAGGTTAATAAATGTTATAAGAAATTGAGAGAGATTGAGAGAGCAAATATTAGCTCTATGTTTTTGATGTATATTGCAACCAAATGGAACCTCCATTATATAGGAGATGTTTTACAAGACAAAATGATGAACAAAAGAAATATACAAATGAAAGGCCACCGAAAGATGGCTAAAAGCAAAAGAAAAAGAAGGTGTCTATCTGTGCTAGGCTAGCAACAACTCAGCTATAGATCTATACAGATTAATATAGTATTTATTAACATATTATAGGTATAGTATTAACATCCCCCCTCAAACTCAAGGAGGACAAACATCAACCAACTTGAGTTTGGAGACAAGGTCAACGAAGCGGCCAGGAGAATGAGCTTTGGTGAAGATATCAGCAGGTTGATCAACAGAAGAGATCGGATGGAGATGGACAGTACCATGAGTAACGTGTTGCCGAATAAAATGGCAGTCAATCTCAATGTGCTTGGTGCGATCATGAAAAACATCATTGTGAGCAATTTGAAGAGCACTGTGATTGTCACAAAAGAGGGCAGTAGCGCCAGAGGGAGTAACACCCATGTCAGCAAGAAGCCAACGAAGCCAGAGAAGCTCCTGAGTAGTATCAGCAAGGGCACGATATTCGGCTTCAGTACTAGAACGAGCAGTAAGAGATTGTTTCTTACTGCGCCAAGAAATAAGAGAATCACCCAGAAAAAAGCAAAACCCAGTAGTAGAGCGGCGGTCAGTAGGATCGCCAGCCCAATCAGCATCAGAGAAAGCACGAAGCTGGAGAGAGGAGCGG